GCGGGCGCGCCCCCCTGCCCGTCGGCTCCGTCACACACCGGGACCGAGTTCAGCATCTGGGTGCCGCGACCCAGCCAGGCTCTGGGGGCTGCGGGGCTTGGGTCACGCGAACAAGAAGAATGGCTTTGACAGCAAAGTGGGTGACCCCAACGCGACCATCGAGCACCCCGGTTTGCCAGTGTGGGAGGCGGGTGCCTCCGCGGCCGAGGGGTGAATGCCGGCTCCGTGACTCTGCTCTGACCCCCATTTGCTGAGTGGCAAGTGCCTCATTACAGTGCATAGTTAAAAATCAAGGAAGCGGTACAATAAATCTGAATTACAGTACATCTGAGCCATAAATACATTTTTTTAAGTATATACTTTTTTTTTTTCTCTTCTATTAAAAATTAGTTTATAATCCTGATTCTATTCACAATTAACAATTTCATCATCACACACTACGGACAAAAAAATGTTATGGAGAACACAGCTGCAACTCCGCGGCGGGAGCACGGGGTGGGGGGCACGAAAAAAAAAGAGAGGGGCCGGGGGGGCTCCTAGGCTCACCCTAAAACAACCAGTCAGAAGCGGGGTGACTAACGTGTGGCAGTGAGACATCAACACCATGGGGACTCACAGACAGAAGCAGCTTTGTTCAATGTAAACATCGATCGGAAGGGACAGCAGTCTCTCTCTCTCGCGCGTGCGTGCTCTCGCTCTCTCTCGCTCTCTCTTGCTTTCCGTAGACTGAATAATTTCTTTGAAAACGTAAACATATTGGAAGTGCCTTGACTGAGGTATTGAGGTATTCCTCCAAGGTTAAGGCTGTTACCGATGCAGGCTTAGCTGTGCCTCCTGCAGCAAGCTGTCGAAATCCATGGTCTCGTACTTGCTTTTCACTGGAGCTGGGGAAGACTCCTCCGTGCTGCAATCTGGGAACGGCAGGGACACAAGGCAGCCGGGTCAGGGAGTGAGAAGGGAAACTGAGGCATGGAGAAACACTGCTTTAAACATATTGGAAGTGCCTTGACTGAGGTATTGAGGTATTCCTCCAAGGTTAAGGCTGTTACCGATGCAGGCTTAGCTGTGCCTCCTGCAGCAAGCTGTCGAAATCCATGGTCTCGTACTTGCTTTTCACTGGAGCTGGGGAAGACTCCTCCGTGCTGCAATCTGGGAACGGCAGGGACACAAGGCAGCCGGGTCAGGGAGTGAGAAGGGAAACTGAGGCATGGAGGGACACTGCTTGCTCCTCCGCTACCGGCACGCTGCACCCCGGGACCACAAACCCCCCATCCACCCTGGAAGCCAGCCGGGATGGGGTGGTGATGGAGAAAGGGAGTGGGGACGGTGCTGTCTCTCCCCAGTGGAAAGGAGCTGTCGGGCAGAGGGGTCACAGCAGTGCCCAGCCCGGCAGGTCACGCACCGCAGACACCCCTTCCCAGGTGAGCCAAATTCTCCTGCATCCAGCTGCATTCTGAGGCGCTGACACAGGGCCGTCCCTGCGGGAGCCGTGCAGGTCGTGGGGAGGAGGGGGGTGAGGCTGCGCAAACAGTGCCACCTCAAAGCGTGGGAAACTCAGCGAATGCCAGAAATAAGGCTGCCCAATTTAACAGCAGCTTAACCCTTTTTGGGTGTGTATTCGTGAATGAGCCATAAATGGCACGGTTGCATTTCACCTCTGCCCGCGGGCTCCCCACCTCACCCTGTACCAGGGCGAGCAGGATTTTAGGACGGAGCCGGGCTGTGCAGTAAGGGGGTGACTGCTGGTCTTGCAGCAACCTGCAGGTGAGGAGGACCGGGGAGGATGGGGTATCTCCTATGCAGGGGGGCAGCTCTGACCCCCCTCCCCACAGGACCGCAGAGCCACGTGCCAACATCTTCATCACAGGGTGCCATCTGTTTTCTAGCTTCTTCGTGCCCAAAATGAGAGGCCCTGGGATTTATTTAGATGACCGATGGGCATTTGTGCCCACAACCAAAGCCAGAGGGATTTGCTGCTCTGAGCAGATGAGATATTATAAGGTGCTGAAAGATCAGGCAGTACTTGTGTCAAACTGGGTGTCTTGAGATAAGTCAAGACTTAGGGCTTTGTTTTTGGGGCCTTAGTCTTTGATGCACGAAGTAGGATACTGGAACCACTTCACCCCCTGCAGGGGATGCAGAAATAAATACGCGGTGTTCATGAAACACTTGAAGATCACAGCAACGCGGGCTGAGCAAAGCCTGGGTCACATTTCTCTTGCAGGACTCGCGTAGGGTTTCACTCCTTGTCCCTCAGCTCGGGCTGCAGCCCTGCCACTGTGGAGTGATGGGGTCCAGCGAGACACCAGCTAATGCGGTCGCTGGGTGAGGCAGGAGGTCTTGCAGAAACCCATACAGCACAGAAAGCGTTAATGCGACCACAGAACATTTCAGTGCTGTCATTTTGGCTCAAAAGTGCATGTGCAGTGTGGTGAATCTGTCTTGCCGAGCAGCAAACCACCCAGATCACCTCTTGGGCTAATGAGATGTTGCTGGCTGCTTTCTCTAATGACTAGGAAGGGAATTCTCTGCTGGAAAGGATCCAGCACTGGGTAGAAAGGCAGCAGAGACAGGATGGGCTGTGGTCAGCTGAGACCCATCAGCCCTGGTGTGTGATGCTACATTTTGCAGCCAACACGCTGCTGGTCCTCACGGCAGTTGCTTTTCTTCTCTCCCCCGAGTTTCCCAAGCCATCTGACTGAGCTAAGAGCAGCTACGTGAGCCGTCGGAGAGCTGGTGGGCTTTCCCTGTAGGCTCTAAAGAGGTTAGGAGCCTGGCATGACTAGGGTTCAGCAACGCAACGTGCGGTTACCGCCCTGGCAGGACGCTTTGGAAAAAGCAGCTCCTGCTTTCTTACCCAAGTCAGCGTATCTGGTCCAGAAGAAGTGCCCGAGGCCACCAGAGCTGAGCTGGAACGAAGGCTCATTCCTCTTCCTTAGCGAGGTGCCGTTCTTCAGAGATAAGGCGGCATGCTCTGAATACCGGTAGGTGATGAAGCCGTATTTATCTCCCCTGAGCAACCAGAGAAAGAATTCAAGATGTGATGGGCCCCGCAGCCTAACACGGCTCTGCCGAGCACTGCAGCCCCGTCCCTCTATCCTGCATCCGTCCATCTCACCAGCCCTCCATCCCACTGCCCTCCATCCCGCTGTCCCTCCATCCCACCGGCCCTCCCATGCCCTTGGACCTGGGGACGCACTGCATCTCCTCGCCCAAAGCGCCGAGATCGCGGGCTCGGCTGAGCGAGGGGGTTGGTGAAAGGCACAACCACATCCCTCGCACACGCACAGCTGGATGCAGGGCTGACCCTGCACCGCCGGGCAGCGCTGATGCTGCCGCAGGAGAGGGGTTGCCCGTAGCCACTGGAGCCCCAGACTGCGGCTTGCTCACCACCCACCTGTTAGTCCTGGACAGGACCTGGCACTCCACGATTTCACCAAACACTTCGAAGCGTTTCTTCAGTTCGCTGGAGCTCATGCTGCTGGAGAGGTTTCTGATATACACCACCCGGCCTTCCCCCTGGCAAAACAAGTGAAAGGTCTCAGGCTCCGGTCGCCCCGTGCCCCTGTGCTGCTGACGAGCGCTGGAAATGCAGGGATGCCGAGAAGCCCCCAGGAACCAGCGCCGAGAATCGGGCTGCAGCAGGGCGATGCTGCCGCAGGCACAGCCTGACAACTCTGGGGTCTGGCTGTCTCTGCTCTGGTTAGCTCATGGATGTCACTCCCAGGCCACCACTGCTGCAAGGGACAGCTACAAGCATGTCCCTTAGGATGGTGTTATAGCCAGGCTGAAGCAGCCAGCCCTG